CAATTGGCTAAATATTAAATATTTAGTATTAAATAATATTAAATAAATTATTAATACTTAATATCAATTAAAAAATTAAATAAAAACTTTTTTATTTAATGCCGCCTTGGCTCCCTTCGTGGAGAAAGGTGGAATAGAAATTATAATAAATAATAAATAAATTATATATATATATATATATATATATAATATATTATTAATTCACAAACTTACAAGCTTTCAGAAACCACCTCAAAGTATTCTTACAAATATAAAATCCTTATTGGTTCATTATTTTAAACGTTATGCTACACTGAATAGTGTCTAAGGGCCTAAACAGACTGCCAGAAATAATCCATCTTGAGACCATTTTAACTGTCCTGGCTCAGTGTTAGGGAATCATGGGAATTGTAGTTTTTTCTGAGACATTGAGCCTTCTCTGTCAGAGAGCTCTGGTGCCACAATAAACTACAATTCCCATGATCCCCTAGCACTGAGCCAGGGCAGTTAAACTGGTCTCAAACTGGAGTATTTCTGGCAGTCTGTATAGTCCAGGGGTAGGCAACCTTTCCCCTTTAAGGGCCGAGGGACTTCAGCTCCCAGAATTCCAGGAGCTATTGGCCAACATGGGGCTATTGGCCAACATGGCTGAGGCTTCTGGGAGCTGAAGGCCCTCGGCCCTTAAAGGGGAAAGGTTGCCTACCCCTGGTATAGTCCCTAAATTAATACTTTCTCAACTTCCTTCCCACTAAATTTTTGGCTAAATCAAAAAAATATAGAGGAGGGGAGGGAGGGAAAAACAGAGGAGGAAGAGTGGCTTCCTGTAACAGAATTTTGTTAAGAAAATATGGCAACAATAAAAAGCTAGTACTGTAGGAGAAGAAAGGTTAAATAAGAACTGTTTATAGGAGTGTTTTGAGCTCTTATTTTTGGTCACGTCCTCCATTTTTGGGGTGCCTCGTCCTCCTTTGGCATCTGGTCTCCCTGACCCAACCTTTCCACAACCGCCGCCATTTTCTCTTCTCACAGAGAGGAGAACAGAGGCGGCCATTTCCCAGGAGGCTCCGCGGCTGAGCGGGATTAAGGCAGGCCTAGGCCCCGGGCCGCGTACCTCGCAGTTCATGGAGGCGCCGTCTCGGCCGAGCAGGGCCTGCCTCGGTCCTCCTCCCTTCTCAGCCGTCGTCGTCGGTGGCCCTTCCCAAAGGCAGCCGCCATGCAGTACCTAGGCCAGGCCTGGGTAGGCCAGTCCCTTTCTTTTCACCGCCTCAGAGCTCCTCCTCTTCTCCTCTCGGGGTTGGGCTTCTGCGGCTCTCCGGCCTCATTGCAGGCGCTGAGGAAAGGAAGGGAAGGCCTTTAGTATTATTCATTGGTGCAGGAGGACCAGGCACGTCCTCCTTTTCCAGGGCATTCCCTGCATTTCAGCCCTCTACCCATGCGCTTCTATATGCCTCTTAGGGCCTTAACAGACTGCCAGAAATAATCCGCTTTA